TTTTTTTTTTTTTTTTTTTTTTTTTTTGGCAAGACAAAGAATCAAACGCAGGACCTCGTGCATGCCAGGTAGGCTCTCTACCACTGGTCTGGTCCATATCTCCAACTTAACTTTAACAATTTAACTTTTGATCCCTGCCCTAAACCTTTGAAAATAGCTGCAAGTGGCTGAAGCCAACCCTTGCCTGACCCTCTAGGCAACCTATTCCTTCCTTCCAACCCCCAGGACCTCTAGAAACACTTCGAGCCTCCCTCAGCTCCTCTCTATCATTCTGACTCTCACCGTGAAGAAAGATTCAGGATACTGTCAAGTGGCAGTTGGAAGGCCCAGAGCACTTTGTGTGTGAGCAGGAACAGCTCCCTTACACGGCAGCACTAGAACCCCAGTTTGTATTTTCTCCGCCCTACCAAGTACACTCCAAGTATGTAGCCACAGCCTTTCCACTCAGACCCACATGGAGGAGAACACTATTCCCATGTGATGCCAACAGGAGGGCCCCTGGCCAAGCATCCTCAAGGAGATGGAGGATGCGTAGGAACTGGGACAAGATAGTCATCACTTCAGAGGAAACTACCTTACCTCTCTGGAAGATGTTCCACCCACTTCAGGTGCCCACTGGAGAGGTGATAGAGGGTGAGAATCGTCTTCTTCAGAACTGCAAGGTACCTCACTGACTCCTGCAGGCCCACCAGCCCAAGTGCCTGGAAACTGAACACAGGGAAGAGTGAGGGCACACCTGGATGCCAATGCTGGTTCTGCCTGATCTTGCCTCTAACTACTTGAGAATCTGTCTTGCCTGAGAACCACTAAGGTGCACTGCCCTCAAGCCCCCATGTCTCCCATGAGTTACCTCTTCCTTTCCCTAGGATTTCACAGAACTCAGACTAACCCTCTAGCAAGCCCCATCAGGAAATGAGGTCATTGTTGGGCTTATGACTACGTCCACAACTGGGCAAGAACTTGATGGCAGCTGCCTCACGTGGACAGTGTTCTCATTGCCTGGGATCCACCAAGTGCTAGGAACCAGGGGAACTGCTATCGTAAGAAGTGTGAGCTAAAGCCAACAAGCGATAGAAGAATCTCAGCAAAGGTGAGGCAGTAGTTCACGCTGCTCTATAACAGAGAGCTAAATTCCAAGCACGGTGATAGAGCTCTGCAGTCCTAGCCCTTGTGAGGTGGAGGCAGGAGTGTCAGAAGTTCAAGGCCAGGACTGTCAAGATGGCTTGGCAAGTAAAGACACTTGCTGAGCAAGGCTAACAACCTAAATTCAATCCCCAGAACCTACTTAGAGGTAGAAAGAGAGAACTGACTCCACAAAGCTGGTCACTAATCCCTGCATGTGCACTCTGCGGCATGCACACTCCTCCCCACACACACCACCCAGACAGACACACACACACACACACTCACACATTCACATACACCAAAGTCAGCCTCATCTACATAGCTACTTTGAGGGCAGCCTGGGCTACACGACACCTGTCTCAAAGCAAACAAACATAAGGAACATGGAAAGCTTTGTACTATCCTCTTTTACCTAGAACACAGCAATCAAAGCTCATATATTATGGTAACATATATTACCATATGATTGGGACAATGTTCAAGAACAAACACTGTGCCGGGTGGTGGTGGCGCACGCCTTTAATCCCAGCACTCGGAGGCAGAGGCAGGCAGATCTCTGTGAGTTCTAGGCCAGCCTGGTCTACAAGAGCTAGTGCCAGGACAGGCTCCAAAGCTACAGAGAAACCCACCCAATTCACAGAAAATCTCATTTGTAAATAACATAGAACTCTCAGTAAATACACACACTATATTTGGTACTATAACAACCAAATCAAGAATGGGCAGCTAAGCCAGATGCAGTGGCACACGAATTCTAGCACTCTGGAAGTTAAGGAAGAAGAATCTCTTAGAGTTCAAGGCCAGCCTGGTCTATGCATTTCCAGAACAGCCAGAGCTATGTAGAGAGACCCTGTCTAAAAAAGGGAGTGGGTAGTTGGGAGACATCTGGGGCTAGAGAGAAGGCTCTGTGGTTAAGAGCACTGGCTACTCTTCCAGAGTACCAGAATTCAACTCTCAGCGCCCACATGGTGGCTGCAATCATCTGGTAATCCAGTGTCAGGGGATCCAACATGTTCTTCTGGCCCCCCACAGGGACTGCACTCATGTAGTCCATAGACAAAGACATACAAGCAGACAAAACACCCATACACATAAGAAAAAATTTTTTTAAAAGAACAGGCATCTGATGCACCTGTTCTTGCACCTGTTCTTCAGTGGTCCTTGAAGAAAGGGGGGAGGGGGCATAAAGGCCCAGAGTTGTTCATCCATCCAGATCCCTTCACTCAGCCATAAGGATTTTCCTACCTGCCACTGTCCAGAGTTATCTCCCAGTTCAGGCCCCCGATGTTAGTCTCCCAAGAACGCATGATTCGCCCTCCGTTGGATACAGTGATTGCATCTGGAAGAGACAAAGATCACTGTCATTTCCCACTCTTGTTCTGTGGCCTGGTAAGAGCTGTGGGCCAGGATTCCACCTCCAGCTTATGGATGCAGACAGGTGGTAAGCAGGCACCTGCCCTTCACTGTAGGAAGCACCCCTTCTTCTTTCCCCATCAGGCCCTACGCAAAGCCAAGAATCAAGCAAAGGGAGATGGCGCTGACTCCAAACGAAGACCGGGGGCCTCTGCTTACCTTGTCCATAGAGCAACATGGCATCCACAGCCCCTTCTGCTGTGCCATTGTCAACATGGCGCCACACTGAAAGGTAAGAGAATCAGACGTTGCTGTGAGTCACTGTGGCCCAACGAGACAGGAAGGGACTGAGATCTTCATTTACATAGCTTTATCCAACTTTAATTAGGAAGTAAGGAATATAATAAGTGCTATGACTATACCCACTCACTGGAGTGTGAGGGAGGAGGGGTTCAAGAGATATTGCTTTTCCCGTCTAGGCTCGCAGCCCCTCCAGCTCGCAGCCCCTCCAGTCCACCACCACCCCATGAACATATGAAGGAACAAAAATAAGATTAACAAAACACCCAACATGGCAGCTCACAACTGTCTGTAACCCCAGTTTCAGAGGACCCGACACCCTCACACTGACATACATGCAGGTCAAACACCAATCACATGAAACAAAAATCTAAAAAATATACCCAAAAATTAATAAAATCTACCCAGCTCATAAGTAAAGAGTTTACTCTTTTCACAATCTAAATTTCTACAAACCATCCCAGCAGCAGGGATATCTCAAGGGTAGTCATGCAAGCCTTTACTGCAAAACAGGATAGAATGCAGCTTTTGCAGTGTTATCTTGGTTAAGGACCTACAGGATTGAGGAGCTTACAAAGACCAGCAACACAGATCTACACACTGAAAGATGGTAAGACTGGAGAAGACAAAAAAGAAGACGAGCCGTAGGTTACACACTTCAGTCAGCTCACTCACAGATCTCTCCAGTGCGAGAATTCAACGCTGCAATCACGTTCTTCTCTGTGGCCACAACCAATTTCTTGGACCCAGGGGAATACTCCAAGGAGGCAAACTTGAGCTTCCCAACATACTGCTGTCTCCTGAGGAAAAGTGTGGGGGGGACATCAGGGCAAAGCCATCACCAGGATGAGACAAATTGCTGGCTTCACACCAGCCCATCTCCCTAGCCACACTTAAGAAACACGTGCAAACGAAGAGCTCTGACCATCCCCAAGATTTGTGTGTCATGTGCCTCGTAAGCAAAGGGAGACAGGAGAGAATTACCACCAAATAGATGAGCGACCTGTTACTCAGGCAACATCCCTCCGAGTTCTCAGCCTTACTAACTTTTAGCTGCACCACACAGACTTCTAGTTACGGATGCTGCAATAAGGAAGGAAATACTGCTGCCTGGGCCACATTGAGCAAAGATGGCATTCAGACTGCATCTCTCATTTAGACCCCTTTTGTTGCAAAGGCGCTAAACTGATAGTAACGTTTAGACTCAGTCTTTTTTTTTTTTTTTTTTTTTTTTGGTTTTTCGAGACAGGGTTTCTCTGTGGCTTTGGAGCCTGTCCTGGAACTAGCTCTTGTAGACCAGGCTGGTCTCGAACTCACAGAGATCCGCCTGCCTCTGCCTCCCGAGTGCTGGGATTAAAGGTGTGCGCCACCATCGCCCGGCTCAGACTCAGTCATTTCTATGTATATTTTCACGTGAGTCTCTTCTGTTTGTAGCCACGAGACAACCCTACCAAGTCTGCAAGGCAAATGTAATTGCCTACATTTTACAAATGAAGAAACCAAAATCCAGAAAGTCCAGGGTTCCAAAATGAAGACCTTTTAAAAATACTATCGCTCAGCTGTATGTCAGTTTCCCCAAGCACAAGCAACAGTTACGCTGCCAAATAGTCGTTTAAACTGAAACAAGCAGGGCCTGAAGGGAGAGGTGAGTGAATGGATATCTGGCTGATAGGTTTGGAGAGGACACAGTGTTCAGAGTGTCCCTCGGGGAGGAGGGGGAGAGAGAACGTTAGAACTTTGGAAGCTGTAAGACAGGAGGGCTAAGAAACAACAGGACGGTAAAACTTCACTGGGGGCTGGTGACCTCTGACACCCAGGAGATCACAAACCTGACAGCCATAGAATCGGATACGGCGGGAAAGGTGGGAATCAGTGACCTCTGACCAAAACCTTAAAGCATGCCTGAACGGCGGGGCTGGTTCCATTGCGGCGCAATCTGCAGAGTCATATACGGGGCGGCTCAGAAAGGTTCCCTGGCTGCTTAATTTAATGATCCCAGGTCTTCGCCTCCAAATTCCTCGCATCTGAAGAAGGGACGCTCACATTTTCACTCTGCACAGGGTGCAGCATTCATTCATTCACCTCTCCCTTAAAGGCCCTGGTGTTTAAGTTATGAACTCGGTCCTGCTCCCTGGCAATCCCCTCCTGCTAACCGGAGGGAGACAGATGCTGGCAAAGCTGACAGCTACTTCCTGGAGAAGCGTCACCCACACGCACCAGTCAAACTTGCCCACTTGGTCTTCGTAGACCGCGGCCGCAGGGAGAAGCAGCGTAACCCAAAGCCAGTAGCCGGACGCCACAGCAGCCACCATGATTGAAGACCAAGCACCGCCAGCAGCTATCCCGGCATGCACTGGGCCTCAAGCCCCTCCCTGCGCCGAACCATAGAGAGGAAGCGGCGAGGGCGCTCAGGGCTCGGGAGCCACCGGGATTGGAAGGACTGGAGGGACAGGAGAGATCTGGGACCTGGGCCGAGAAGTGACCTTCCAGGCACAGAACAGAGTGCAAACGGGGAGAGACAGCCCGCCTCGGTTCGGGTCAGGCCCACGCGAGGGGCAGCCCCGAGCGCCGTCCCAGAAGCCCCCGCGCCGCCCCGGTCCTGACGGGCCGGCGCACGTGTCTTCCGAGCGATGCCTAAATCTAAGCGAGACAAGAAAGGTGGGCTCCGGGGATCTCAGCTATGGGGGCAACGGGGACACGGATGAGACGCCGAGGCCTCTCCAAGGAGATCCGCCGGCCGGGGTGGCGGGTTGGCATAGAAAGGTCACCGGAAGATGTGGAGTCTGGGCCGGACCGACAGGCAGCTCCCGAGACAGCGTCTTGTGTCCCAGGCTTACCTCGAGCTCGCCAGCGACGAGAGTCTTAAACTGTTGACCCTACCTCCCAGTTCTTGGGGTTACAGGCATGCACCACTAAGCCTAGTTTTTGCTGAGCTACCAGCTGAGCACTGAGCTACATCCCCTGCCGCGCGCGTGTGTGTTTGAAACAGGATCTTGCAATGTAGCTCAGACTCTCTGTGTGGACTAGGCTGGTCTCAAATTCAAGGGCTTCCCCCTACCTCATCGTCTCCAGAATGTAGGAATTTTACAGTCATGCATCGGCGTATCTGATGGCGGCTAGTGCGGTGTTTTGTTTTTTGCCTTTTTTTTTTTTTTTAAGCTTTTTTCAAGAGAGGGTTTCTCTGTAGCTTTGGTGCCTGACCTGGAACTAGCTCTTGTAGACCAGACTGGCCTCGAACTCACAGACATCCGCCTGCCTCTGCCTCCCGAATGCTGGGATTAAAGGCGTGCGCCACCACCGCCCGGCTTTTTTCTTAGTTTTTTAATGCCGGGTCCTTGAACTCTCCACCTTCAGCCTTCGCCCTAGATTCCAAACTGGGCCACCACATAGTGAACTGGCACTAGTGAGCTGTGGGTGTTAGGAGACAAGATAGTTGAACAAAAAGGGTCTGGCGCCATCAAACTCACCGCTTTAGTTCGGCTGTGTGTGTACGTGTGTATCCTATGTCCCAGTCAAGTTAAGTATGGTTTGGCTGGTAGTAAAAGCAGAGTGTGCAGAAAGTGGAAATGGTACTGTTTTGTGTGATGTGGTCAGGGAAGCTCTCAGTGGCAAGACGACAAATAAAATCCCCAGGAAAGGAAAGTAAGCAGACTGTACAGTTGTCTGAGAGCAGGTGGTTCTGCATAGCGGACCCCGAAGAGAAAGGGCTCTGGAGTTAACATACTGGGGGACAAGAGGCCAATGCGGCTGCAGTCAAGTGGACAAACTAGGGTAGAGGGGAAAGGATCTGGCCTTGGATGTGGCTGTACTCTAAAAGGACCACTTTGCCTCCCTCGATAGCCTGGAGAATATGAGGGCAGATATGAAGCAGCAAGGGCGGACACCACCAGGGGAATGCCAAACTGAACCAAAATCCTAGCAGCGGAGAGTCTGAGAATGGCTGGCTCAATGGGCTTGCCGTTGAGTGTGTACATTGTAGGGACTGTGAGTGGCAGGCAGGGTAGATAAAAGACATTTCACCTGCTGGGGACAAAGCTAGGGCTTTGTAACTAAAGTTCTGGTGAGCTCTTATGAAGTCATTTGGTTTTGTGGAGGGAACCCTGGTCAGATGTAGCAAATGCCAGAAACTTTTCCGGAAGTGGAACAGATAGGGCCTTGGTTACTTTTCAGTAGCAGTTCTTGTGCGCCCCACCCCACCCCCAGCATTGTTGTATTCTCAGGTCCAGGCACAAAATAGAAATGCGGGTATGTAGTAGACTAGAAAAGATGCGGTCCCAAAAAGATGAGTCGGTACATGCAAGTAATCCCAGCACTTAGGAAGCAGAAGCAAGGAAATGTATCTTGAGTTCAAGGCCGGCCCAAGCAGCCTTGTAGCAAGGTCCTGCCTTTAAAGAAATAAAAAAGGGAAGAATTGTTTCTATTATTCCATAGCCGAGCCTAGCCATTGATAGCCTGTGCGCCATGCCCTGTAGCAGGAAAGGGTCCTGCCTCAGCTAGCATGTTAGGGCTGCCACTGAGAGCACTCTGTCAGCAGCAGTGAGTCAGGAAATCCAGCAGTCAGCCCAAGGGACTAAGGGCGCCTGGTTTGTGCCAGGAGCTCTACTTAGGGGTCTCTGGGTCCAGAAGTATTAGATAGTATTAGATAAGCAAGCACTATCCCAGCCTTGAATGTCAGAAATGCCAGGATCCGTTGCTGCCTCCCTCACACTGGCTTAGTTCAGCCACACCTCCAAAGAACAAAGCTAATCTCTAAAGCATCCAGATTCAATACTCAACACCATCCTTTTCTTGGTTTTAGTTTCCTTAACAAAAACTGCCAAGAAAGGCTTGGAACTGAAGCAGAACCTGATAGAAGAGGTAAGTGTTTGCTCCTTTACTTTTCTAGTATGTATTTCCTCGGTAGGCGTGGAGGACTGTTGGCAGTGTGTGAAAATCAGAAGCCACAGTTTTCCATCCTGCTCCCAGGTTCGCAGCCCTATTGAGCTCTGTGTACCTCCCACATCAGCAAATGCATTTTCCGCACAATCCTCCGCCCTATCCCTGAAGCTTCCTGTGACCCAGGGCCGGGTGGTGCTATTGCTGTTTTGCACTCTGAGTAATGGAAGCTTATTAGTGAGTTTGTAATGCTGCCCAGTATCTGAAGCCTGGAAATCACCAGGTATGGTGACTGTGGCCATTCCTCTGCAGCCGATCTGCTAGCCCTCTACTGAGGGCCAGGGAAGCCCAGCCTCCTGGAAGTAGAGCTTCACTACAGAGAGGCTGTAGCAAGCAGCCTGGCAAGACAGTGCAGATGAGGTGTCTCTCCAGGTTTATCAAAACGATGAGGCTCCTGTGGTTTTCACTTAGGCAGGGGTCTTTCCACAGTGGGTAGACGTTTCTAGATTAACTGTAAGTAGGCAAAGGAAAGCACTGGTCATGGAAGACCATAAGGTATGGGTTCCTGCTCACCTGCTGGAGTGGGTGACCTTGGTGTCACTCCTGTCAATGGTAAGTGACCAGATTAAAGGCCTGTAGGTGATTCTTTAGCATGAGGCCAGAGTTGCTCGACCCATGCTGCCCCTTCACCTCCAGAGCCTCATGAATTGTCCCACAGCTTCGGAAATGTGTGGATACATACAAGTACATCTTCATCTTCTCTGTGGCCAACATGAGGAACAACAAGCTGAAGGACATCCGGAATGCCTGGAAGCACAGCCGGTGAGCAGGCAGTGGGAAGAGGAAGGAGCACCAGGCAGGAGGGATGGACTGTGCCATCAGAGCCCAGCAGCAGGACTGACCCTTAGGGTCTGCAACTCACATGCTGAAGGGAACCATTTTTGTTAGAGGTGGGCTTTCCCTAAGCTGCTGGGCAATAGGACTTGGTGTTCACTTGAGATGTTTGAGATTGGTTCCTTCAGAAAAGCTGCCCCTGGGGTCTGACTTCCTGGTTTACTAGAATGTCATTATGTGTATCCACAGACTGACCCCAAAGCAGGCTGCAGCAGCTGATAGGTTGCAGTACTTGGGTGGGTGTTTCTGGAGTCAGTCTCCCCACAGCCATGTGATGGGTGGCTTGTGATGTTGGCAGTAAGCTGACTCAAACTATTAGCAAGGTCGGGTTCTCTGGATAAGAGCATGGAACCAGGAATACTGAGGACACGTGAATGGGTTACACGGAGAACAAAGCCTCTAGCCTATTCTGATCTGGGCTCCCAGGACTCCTGGCACTGGCTCACAGCCTTGTTTCTTTATAGGATGTTCTTTGGCAAAAACAAGGTGATGATGGTGGCCTTGGGGCGAAGCCCATCTGACGAATACAAAGACAACCTACATCAGGTAGGTACTGGCCAAGTGAGGCTCGAGCTTTGCTGCCTCCTCTCCTGTTCTTCCCCTGTGCTAGATGACTTCGATGGGTCCAGGAGAATCAAGCTCGGCTTAAATCTGTCTTGTCCTTAATCTGCAGACTCATGGGGTGGTTCCTATTGTGCCCTCCTGCCCTGTGTACTAGGGGTCGCACCAATCAGAAAAGGTTTCTGATGATAACCGGGCGTCCCCAGTGGCTGGGGCCCTTGGTGAAGGAGCAGTGGTGCTCACTGTCGTTTTTCAGGTCAGCAAGAAGTTGAGAGGTGAAGTTGGGCTCCTCTTTACCAACCGCACAAAGGAGGAGGTGAACGGGTGAGTGTCTCTGAGGGGTGGGGGGAGAAGCTGAGGGTCGGGAAAGCTGAAAGGGTGGTACCGTGGTGACATAAAACTGGGGCTGGGTCCTGGAAGCCTCTTAACAGAACCAGATTCTGTGACCTGGGTCCTCCCATTCTCTCTGGTGTAGTCCTCCCCTTTGGGTGCTGGAACTCAGCCAAGATGGACAAGGACAGGAGGCCCTGCATTGTGTGCACTCAGTGGAGGGTCAGACTTGTGAATGGAGGCACAGCTGGGAACTTCCCCATCACTCTCCTCTGCCTTAGGTGGTTCACAAAGTATACAGAAATGGATTTTGCTCGAGCTGGGAACAAAGCAACTTTAACCGTGAGCCTGGATCCAGGGCCCCTGAAGCAGTTCCCTCATTCCATGGAGCCACAGCTGAGGCAGCTGGGCCTGCCCACTGCCCTCAAGAAAGGTAGGTGTCTGGAGAGGTGGCTCAGGGTTAGGAGTAGTGGCTGCTTTTACATAGGACATGGGTTTGACTCCCAGCACCCTCTTCTGGCCTCCACAGGCAGCAGGTATTCACATGGTGCCACTCTCATACCTGTAGGCAAAACACCCCACATAGAATAATTTTTAGAAAAAGAAGAAAGGAAGGAGCCAGGCAGTGATGGGGTAAGCCTTTAATCCCAGCACTGAGGAGGCAGAGGCAGGTGGATCACTGA